GTGCAGTAGTGAGTAAAACCCAAGTTCCTTTCTTCATGGAGCCTACATTCTAGTGAGAGGAGGGAGGCAGAAACAAAAACATTTAATATTCTAGGTAGTGGTAAGAAAAAATAAAGATGAGGGTGATAAGTGTGCCATTTTTTTATACCTCTTTAAGAATGTAACTTTTGAGGAGAGACCAAATAATGTAGCTATCTGGGGAAAGAGAGTTCTAGAGAACAGGGACAGCAGGTGCAAAGGTCCCAACGCAGAATTTTTCATAGGCGATCAAGATGAGCATGGCTGGAATGGAGGCGTTGATGGACAGAATGGAAGGTGGTGAGGGCGTAGACAGGAGCAGATGCTCCTCTTTCACTCTGTTTCCCTTTTGCTCTGCAGCTACTGCCTTCCTCCTCGGTAGTGTCAAGAATGCCGTCCCTGTACCTGCATCTTTGCCTTTGGACGCCATTCCCCTTCTGGATCCATTAAAGAGTCTGCTGCTGACTCTGGGCATTTCTGTTGAGCACCTCGTAGAAGGACTAAGGAAATGTGTGAATGAGCTGGGCCCAGAGGCCTCTGAGTCGGTGAAGAAACTGCTGGTAACTACAGCTTGTAGGGTAGTTTGTCACAGGCAGGGCTCAGCTACTGAGTGCTCATGTGTCTCCCACCTCAACCTTTTCTCACTTGTGAATATTTATTTCCCCCTTACTGATGGCTCATACAAAGTTTGCATGTTTAGTAATCTTGAGAAAGGTGCAGTGTCTACATTTCCAGTAAGAATATGTGAATAACAGAGACCAGAGTGTTTAAAGAAAAAAAAAAGTATATATTGATTTTAGAGATAGAGGAAGGAAAAGGAAAAAAGAAAGAGAGAGAAATATCAGTTTGTTGTTTTACTTATTGATTCATTCATTGATTGATTCTTACATGCATCCTGACTTGGCATCTAACCCACGAACTTAGTATACTAGACTGATGCTCTAATCAACTGAACTTCCTCACCAGGGCAAGACTTATTCTCTAGTTGTGACTTTGCCATTTACCAGATCTGTGATCAGACTTACCTAACCACTTTGAGACTTTGATTTCCTGTCAGTAAAGTCATAGCTAAATAGGAGTGACTATTTTTGGAAATGTGCTAATTACACGTAATCTGCTCTTATTTTTATTACTATCGTTATGCTTTTCAGGGGGCCCTTTCACATTTGGTGTGATGACAGAATGGAAGGAGGAGGACAGTCTCCTGCGCCCTGGCTGAAACTCCTTCCATCCCAAAATGTAGTGACTCCTAGAAAGAATGAATAAAGAAATTGAGTAGATTTCAGTTTGTCTTATTTTTCTTTCTGGGGTCCTCTGTTCAGAAGGGCCATAACTATATAACCTTTCCCCTGGGTCATGGGCTCCAGAGAGCCTGTTGTTCTAAGGGTAACTCAGCTTTTCAATAAGACATGATTCCTTATCTCTAAGATAAACATCTCCATTGATTTTTGTTCTGATACTGCTTCTAGACCCCTTAAGCTTCTAACCCCTATTCCTAAAGAACTTTAAAGCATGCAATGAAAAGCATTTTCAGAGTATTTTCTGACAAGTCTAGGGCCTCACATACTTCATTGGTTTGCAGTCTACCCAGCAGAATATGAATCTCTATTAAGTTTATAGTTATGATAGGACCACTCCAAAGCTTCACTGACCCTTCCACCAAGTTAGTCCTTTAGTACATCAGCCTTTAGCTAATGGGTTCTAATCTGTCCTTCCCCACCCCCTAAAATAACATCTATAACAGTGCCAGCATTTTCTTTTCAAGACATAATTTTGGTTATATATGGCCACCTGTAAAATAGACTTCAAGTCCCTTAGCGTGGCATGCAAAGCCCTTCACGGTCTCATCAATATCCCTTACTTCCCATGGATTCCAGTCACATCCATGCTGAAAAGATAGCCAAATCTCTTTGCTGTTAACACTTTTATGCACCTGCCACTTTTGCCAGCGCCTCTCTCACCCACTACCGGCACCCAATCGCTCAGCTCAGTCAGCAGGTGCAAGCAGTGGCCTGATTGCCCCTAATTGCCTCTGCCTGGCCCTTTACCTGGTAACCAGGATTCCCTCCTCCAGCTGGTTTCAGGCACCTGTGACATGGGCTTCCCTCCCTCTTTCTAGCAGCAGGCACTCAGGAACCTGGCCAGCTTCATCCGGGCTGACCACAGCCACAGGGGATTGTGGGTGGGCAATTTTGTCCTCTGGCGCTGGGACTTGAGACTGTGAGGCAGGCGACTTATCCCTCTCTTGGGCCATAGCCTGGCTGGTCCCTATTTCTCTCTCCCCAGTGTTGAGTGTCAGAGCAGTTCCAGCAGGGACACCCATTTGCATATTAATTAGGATAGTGTGATAATAGTGTGAAAGAAAAACACTCTGTAAATGCAAGTGATTGTTAATCTTCAAAAACAGGCTGTAGAGAGGGTCTTATTGGAAGACAGGAAGAAAAACATAGTAAAGGATAGGAAGGTGAAACATGTATTAAATCTTAAAAATCTATTATGCTGGAGATCTCGAACGGTTACTCTTTTAGTGATGCATCCAACCCAGTATTGATTTGGCATCTGTGTCTATTGGTGTGTTGTTGTTGTTGCTGTTTTTTACTACCAACATGAAAGAGTGATTTCAAATTGTACAACAAATAGGTGAATATAAAGACAGAGAAACTCTGATAGGACATTTTGTTTAAACCTAAGTAATATGATTACTATAGTTACAGTAAATGTATTTTCCAGGGACTGTTCGGCACTCAGAATATGAAAAGGAATTTTGGAGGATTTAAAAAATTATATATTTTATTGATTTTCACAGCGAGTAAGGGAGAGGATGGAGAGTTAGAAACATTGATGAGAGAGAAACATGGATCAGATGCCTCCTGCACCTCCCACCCCCTGGGGATGTGCCCACAACCAAGGTACATGCCCATGACCCAAGTAAAACCCAGGACCCTTCAGTCCACAGGCTGACGCTTTATGCACTGAGCCAAACCGGTTTTGCCTTGGGGGATTTTTGTTAGGGAAAAGCAGTCTGTCAGAACTTAATAGAGTAGAAATCTTAAGTGATTTTGCTTACATGGAAGTAATAGTTGAAATTAGCATAGTCTCAAACAATCAAAATAAAAAGTGAATCAAAGGAATTGAATAAAATATTTGTAAATAATATATCTGATAAGGGGTTAGTATCCAAAATGTGTAAGAAACTTGTACAGTTCAATAATAGAACAACTTAATTTAAAAATGGGCAGAGGACCTGAATGGATACTTTTCCCTACCTCCTCTGCCTGCCTGCCTGATCACCCCTAACCACCCCTGCCTGCCTGATACAAATAGCCAACAGATATATGCTAATGTGCTCAACATCACTATTTATCAGAGAAATGCAAATAAAAAATCACAATGTTTATCAGCTTACACCTGTTAGAATTATTGTTATCAGAAGACAAGACATAGGTGCTGGCAAGGTTATGGAGAAAAGGGGACCCTTGTCTACTGTTGTGGAAGTGTAAATTGCTGCAGGCATTATGGAGGCTCCTCAAAAAAAATAGAGCTTCTATATGCTCCAGCAGTGCTACTTCTGGGTATGTAGCCAAAGGAAATTAAAATCATTACCATGAAGAGATACCTGTACCCCCATGTTCACTGCAACCATAGCCAAACCATGAAAACAACCTAAGTGTCCATTGGTGGGTGAAAGGATAAAAAATTGTGAGATATATCATATTATTCAGCTTTAGCAAAGATGAAAATCCTGTCATTTGTGATGATATGGATACATTTTTGAGGGCATTTTTGCTAAGTGAAATAAGTCAGACAGAAAAAGACAAATACTGTATGATTGCATTTATATGTGGAATCCAAATAAATTAGAACTTGTTAAAACAGAGAATAGGTTGACAGTAGGTTGCCTGAGACAGAGGGTTGTGTGTGGAAGGAAATAGGTGAAAATGGCCAAATGGTAAAAACTTTCAGGTCTAAGATCAATATAAGGTATATTTTGGGTAATCTAATGGTGACTGTAATTAACAATGCTGTATTATGTTCTTGAAGTTTGCTAAGAGACTAGATCTTAAAAGTTCTCATCAGAGAAAGTAATGGCAACTACATGAGTATAATGGCTTTGTTAACTAACCCTATTATAGTAAATATTTAGCAATATACAGCATACATATAGCAAATATCACTTTTATACTTTAAACTTGCACACTGTTATATGTCAGTTATATTTCAAGAAAGCTGCAGGGTGGATTGGCACAGTTTCTGTAAAATGCAATGTGTGGATTGTCTGAATTTGTTGTAGAAAGTAATATGCATTTTCCATTATTTAGTAGGTGTTCACTCTTTGCTTAGTCATTTATATTTTTAAAGGGACTTTGTATTGCATAAAAACCATGGCAGTTAACTAACTTATAGGAGTTAATAATAGGACAGACTTATTAAGTGTTAATCTTGGTTTGGTTCATTTGCATCCTTTGTCTACATAATTTCACTAAATCCTCATCACAATATGACATCATCAAGTTAGGTCCCAACCCCTAGCCTTGCACCTTTAGGGGACTGTGCCATATCATATCTTCCTGAAAGTAGAAAGGTGAAGGAATTCAACAGAACTTTCACTCTTTCTCATGTCAATGCAAAACCTCCCCTTCTTTTTCAATATTCTTTCAGAAGAAAGATTCTTAGATCTCTTTGCCTCCCCCTGGCATCTGTTTTGTTTTGCAAGTGCTTGTGCAAGAGGTCCTTGAGAATGCTTTAAATTAGGGCTTTGTTTCTCATTGGAACATGAGGGAAAGCGGAAAAACCCATTTGTTTAATTGACAAACATGACCTTCATGCTCTTCATTGCTGCAGCAAGTCAAGTGGGCATGACTGAAATCCAGGTCCTCGGGAGGTGTATAAATATGCCACTGTTAGACTTGCTGAAGCACTTGAGACCCCTGGCTTGGGTGATCTACTGTTTAACTCCAGGCAGATATCACAGATAACCTGCCATGAAGCTGACCACTCTGTTCCTGCTGGTGACCATTGGCATTTGCAGTTACTCTGGTAAGTAGTCTGGAACGTATGACATTTCTTTACTTTTCTCTTCATAGGACATAGCTAGTAAGCCATGTCTAAGGGGTGTGGTGGAGTGAGTTTTAGAATCACAGAATGGTAAGGTTGGAAGGGTTTTCAGATGTACTCTCCTTCACACAATCTAAACCCTAGCCCAAAACCCCTAGTTCATGCTACCCAAGAAGTTAGCCAGTTCCCATTGAAGGTCAACAGAGATTTCATTGTTGAGCATTGATCACCATAGTTCTTATCTTCCTCAATCTTTAGTCAAAAACCTGATTTTGGAGCTTTTGACACTATATGGAGTCATTCTTGCTATCATCTCTGATCAGTCAGGTTGCAAGCTTGATTCTCTGAGACAGTTACACTAATCTGTTCAGATGCTTATTGTGGCTATCTATTGAATGGCTACAATCATGTTGGGCACTGGATAAGCATTGGGAAATTCAGAAATGAATAAGGAATAAATATTGTTCCCCTGGTGCCTATAGTGTGGCAAGGGAGATAAGACTTCTGTAGAAGTGAGTACAGTGGTATTCAGCTAGAGATCTGGAAAAGCTGAGGGCAAACCATTCAATATGTGGGTGGGGTACAGAGGGTGGTTTCTTGGAGGACAGTGAGAACTGACCCATTCAGTGATGGTCATTGCTCATTCAGAGAACAGAAAACGTTGCAGAAATATATGAGTATATAAGTACATACGGAGGAGATACCAAAGTGTTTAAAGTAAGAAGTAAAAAGATCAGTCATGAGAAACTAAGTGGCAGCTTATGGAATTTTTGACAAATTTGTAATGTCATCAGTTTCAATTATTTTTGTTGTTCAGTTTCATGGACAAACATCCATTGGCAGAGGTGACCACTAAAAGGTGGGTGGAGGGAAATAAATATCTTTCATTGGAAGAGAATTTTGGAGGGAAAATAGATAATAGAAGGTGAAGATAAACAGATTCAATTTTTATGATTTGAATGGGAATATAAAAATTATTCTACCAGTGGATACAGGTATATTCTGGGGGGTAGGGGAGGATAGAGGGAGGTGAAGGGGGAGAAAAGGAGACATATGTACTTTAGTAGTAACATTAGTAGTAACTTCTAATGTTTCAAACAATAAAAAGAATATGAAAAAAAGAAAAGGGTTCCATAGGAAATGAACAAGGGCAGGGTCTTAGCCAGCAGGAGAATATGTAATAGGAGTTCTCAGGAATCTGTTCGTGCACAAGTATGTTTACATATCTGCATGAATTTTACAAAAATGCATATTTTTCCATTCTCTATATTTTTCTACTGATTCATTTTCTAAGTGAAAGTTACCTTTCTTAAATTGAAGATACAAAATGAAGTTGTCTCATAAATACCTTGAGAGCTTCCCATGTTTCTCAGAAAAAAAACAAAAACAAAAACAAAACACCTCAAACTCGTTAGCATGCCATTCAAGGCTTTGAAAAACCTGACCACCTGAATTTTGCAGCCTCAAAATTCCCTCCTCAGCACACCCCCCTGGAGTCCTGCACTCCAGCCATTCTGGGCAGAAGACTCATTACACTGTGCATGTGCTTTCCTTTTAATATCTCAGTGCCTTTGTTACTTTTTTCTTTTTAAAATTCTTTTCCCTACTTTACCTTCTGATTCTGGCATTTTCCTTAAGACACAACTCTAGCCTCTAAGAAGATTCCCGTAACACTCACCATCAGAATTAGTTGTCCCTTCTTTTGAATTTCCATAGAGCATTGCCCATCATATGCAGCACTGTGGTGTACACAGATCATATTGTCCAGCAGCCTATGTGAACTCTCAGAATGAAGTGTTCTTTTCTTATGTATCTATGTTGCTGCATCAATTGGGACAGAGTCGTTGTTCAATTGTTTTTAGAACATTGAGTTAAATTGTTTGGAAACAGTTTCCTGGGCTGTAGTTTGATCCATTCCTGTCCCCATGTTGAGTTTGCTCATGGCATTTCAATTTACATACAAAGTATATCCTTATTCAGTCAATCACTAGCATGGTTTAAGTGCTTACTACCTTCCAAAGTGCAGTGTGGTACGCTAGTCACCAGGTGCAGTAGTAAAACCCAAATTCCTTTCCTCATGGATCCTACATTCTAGTGAGAGGAGGGAGGCAGAAACAAAAACATTTAATATTCTAGGTAGTGGTAAGAAAAAGTAAAGATGGACGGTCACAAGTGTGCCATTTTTTTATATCCCTTTAAGAATGTAACTTTTGAGGAGAGACCAAATAATGTAGCTATCTGGGGAAAGAGAGTTCTAGAGAACAGGGACAGCAGGTGCAAAGGTCCCAAGGCAGAATTTTTCATGGGCGATCAAGATGAGCATGGCTGGAATGAAGGCATTGATGGACAGAATGGAAAGTGGTGAGGGCATAGACAGGAGCAGATGCTCCTCTTTCACTCTGTTTCCCTTTTGCTCTGCAGCTACTGCCTTCCTCCTCGGTAGTGCCAAGAATGCCGTCCCTGAACCTGCATCTTTGCCTTTGGACGCCATTCCCCTTCTGGATTCATTAAAGACTGTGCTGAATATACTGGGCATTTCTGTTGAGCACCTCGTAGAGGGGCTAAAGAAGTGTGTGAATGAGATAGGCCCAGAGGCCTCTGAGGCGGTGAAGAAACTGCTGGTAACTACAGCTTGTGGGGTAGATTGTCACAGGCAGGGCTCAGCTACCTGAGTGCTCATGTGTCTCCCACCTCACCCTTTTCTCACTTGTGAATATTTATTTCCCCCTTACTGATGGCTCATACAAAGTTTGCATATTTAGTAATCTTGAGAAAGGTAAGGTGTCTACATTTCCAGTAAGAATATGTGAATAACAGAGACCAGAGGGTTTAAAGAAAAAAATAATGTATATATTGATTTTAGAGATAGAGGAAGGAAAAGGAAAAAAGAAAGAGAGAGAGAAATATCAGTTTGTTGTTTTACTTATTGATTCATTCATTGGTTAATTCTTACATGCATCCTGACTTGGCATCTAATCCACGAACTTAGTATCCTAGACTGATGCTCTAATCAACTGAACTTCCTCACCAGGACGAGACTTATTCTCTAGCTGTGACTTTGCCATTTACCAGATCTGTGATCAGACTTAACCACTTTGAGACTTTGATTTCCTGTCAGTAAAGTCATAGCTAAATAGGAGTGACTGTTTTTGGAAATGTGCTAATTACACGTAATCTGCTCTTATTTTTATTACTGTTGTTCTGCTTTTCAGGGGGTCCTTTCAAAATTGGTGTGATGACAGAATGGATGGAGGAGGATGGTCTCCTGTGCCCTGGCTGAAACTCCTTCCATCCTAAAATGTAGTGACTCCTGGAAATAATGAATAAAGCAATTGAGTATATTTCAATTTGTCTTATTTTTCTTTCTGGGGTCCTCTGTTCAGAAGGGCTATAACTACAAAACCTTTCCCTTGGGTCATAAGCTCCAGAGAGCCTGTTGTTCTAAGGTTAACTCAGCTTTTCAATAAGACATGATTCCTTATCTCTAAGGTAAACATCTCCATCGATTTTTGTTCTGATACTGCTTCCAGACCCCATATGCTCCTATCCCCATATTCCTAAAGCATGCAATGAAAAGCATTTTCAGAGTATTGTCTGACAAGTCTAAGGCCTCACATACTTCATTGGTTTGCAGTCTACCCAGCAGAATATGAATCTCTATTAAGTTTATAGTTATGATAGGACCACTCCAAAGCTTCACTGACCCTTCCACCAAGTTAGGCCTTTACTACATCAGCCTTTGACGAATGGGTTCTAACCTGTTCTTCCCCACCCCCCTATAATAACATCTATAACAATGCCAGCATTTTCTTTTCAAGACATAATTTTGGTTATATATGGCCTCCTGTAAAATAGACTTCAAGTCCCTTAGGGTGGCATGAAAAGCCCTTCACGGTCTCATCAATATCCCTTACTTCCCATGGACTCCAGTCACATCCATGCTAAAAAGATAGCCAAATCTCTTTGCTGTTAACACTTTTATGCTTTAATGAAAAGTCAGGTTTTTTCCCCCTACGCAAAATGTCTGCCATAGTCTTCCTTTAGACTTGATCTAGTGCCAGCCTTAGGACTATTTGTCCTTGAATTCATTCCCCATTGTTCCTCTAGTCTGCTCTGGGTAGGGCAGACAGAGGGCATGAGGCTGAACCCTGCAGGTTGATTTTCTCAGGTTCCAAAGTCAGTTGACTCTGGGCCTCTGTTCTGCCTGGGTGTCCCAGGCAGGAGATAGGTGGCTGGAAAAGGGGAAAGCCAGAATGTGGCCGCCTCTCCCTCTCTATTTGGGAGACGTCTCTGGAAGAGTCTGTACCATGTCTGAACTGCTAGGTCCTGCTGGATAGATTGGTTCTAGCTTTTGTCAGTTAACTCTTAGTCTCTGGCTGTGGTTATACCCCTTTCTTTTTGGTCTTCTCAGCTGAGTTTTGCTAGTGGCTTCCTCATATTACCAGCTCCTAGGTTACCTCACCATCACTGACTTCAGTTTTTAGGTCTTCTGTCATTTATTGAATTAGACAATAAGTTCCCCTTCTCTCCATAAAATAACAAAATGGAACCCTGTACAAACTGAAAAAGCAATGAAGTGAAAAACAGCAGCTTTAGGCTTGCACAGATTTACGTTCAAGTTCAGGCTTTAGGCTTGTACAAATTAGTAATCTAAGTGATCTAGGACAGGTTCCTTAAATTTCCAGGCTTTCAATTGCAGTATTTCAAAATGGAATAGCAATATTTAATTCTTATACTTGTGATCATTCAATTAGGCAACATTTAGAAGGATTAAGCATGGGGCATGTCTCAATAATTCCCATTATTATCTTTGGTAGCTTTTGCAGGGCCATCTTGGAATGACAAGCATTGCCACAGGTTAATCTTTGATTTAAACTGTCTCTTCTAATTGAGTTGTCCTTACTCCTCCTTTTCCAGGTCTCTAAATCCTTTCTCATCTAGCAAGATGTAGCTAGATATTATTACCTTTGAGAAGTCTTCCGACATTTTACAAGGGAGCATTAATTGCTTTTTGTCCTATTTCCCATGCTACCATCTTTGTGCTTCAATATACCAAGTCATCTGAATGTGATCAATTGAACACATGCTCAACTAACATCAAGATTGTGAGTTACTTGAACACAACATCCATGAGATGCATCCTTACTTTCTTGTTCTCAAGTGGACATTCTATGGTTTAATTTCTTTACTTAATACAGAATACAACAAATATTTATTGATCAGCTGATCTCTGCTGAACACTGTTATAATTGCTCACTATTATACCAGTAATATTGAACAAAAGAGGCAAAATCTTGCCTCATGGAGCTTTACATTCGATTTGGAGTAGAATTCCAAAAACAATTTTTTTTTAAAGTTTTACACTGTTTTTAAAGGTGAGTTTGCTAGGAGAAAAATACACAGCTGCAAAAGGGGAAATGGTGGTCCAGGGTTTAAAATTTAAAGTAAAAGAGTGATTTCAGATAGTACAACAGTGTAATTTTATTTGAAATTGCCAACGAAATTCTCACTGAGAAGGTCATCTCTGAGAAACAATTGAAGAAGTGAGGGAGAAAGACAATGGCTATCTTCGGGAAGGTATTTTAGTCAGAAGGAAGGGTATATATGCAAGGCTCTGAGGAAATAATGTGGCCTCCTTTCCCTCTCTCTATTTGGAAGATAGAAGTACTTGAAGTACTTGAAGAAAGGCAAGGATTCCATATGGCTGAGAAAACAAAGGAATGAGTAGTTAAAGATGAAATGAGAAGCAGGTAGCTCAGATAGGATTGATCCTAGCCACTGTTGTAAGGCAATATATATATATATATATATATATATATATATATATATATATATATATATATATATATATCCCTAATATGCAAATAGAGCAAACAACAACAATCGAACAACCAGTTGCTATGACACTAGGGGGGTGTTATGGAACATGGTGTGATGGTGAAGCAGGTAAGCTGGGGCACCAGACCAAGTTGGTGCACCAGTCACTGCCATTGGGGCAACCTTATGGTAGTTACTGAAAGTCCTTTGCTCTCACATGCAATAGTCCCACTGGGAGCTTGCACCTGCCACTTGTGCCAGCGCCGTTCTCACCCACTACTGGCACCCAATCGCTCATCTCAGTCAGCAGGTTCAAGCAGTGACTTCAGGCCCCAATCGCCCTTCAGGGCTTTTCCACCTCCCTCTGCTCCTGAGGGGCAATCAGAGTTGGCAACCACCTCTTGCACCTGCTGCTTGTGACAGCCCTGCTTGCACCCACTGCTGGCATTGGAGCCACCTATTTCCCCTGTTGCTGATGCTGGCTCCACTCACACCTGCTGCTGGCACCTGCTCCAATCACTCCATGCCATCAGCGGGTGCGAGCAGGACTAATGCCATCAGATGTGAGTGCAGCTGCAGCAGGAGCAGAGCCTAGGGCAGATGAGAATAGGGGCTGTGGTGGGAGAGGCTGGGCAGGGCATGGAGGATGGGCCGAAAACCACCTCTGTGCCCACTGCAGCCTCATGGCCCACAGTTCTTTCAAGGTGTATGAATTCGTGCACTTGGCTCCTAGTTGAATAATACAGCTTTTTCTCAGAATGAGATGGGATATAGTAGAATGTCTTTTTAAAATTTGAATTGTATTTTAATAGTAGTACTCTTTATACTTAGCATCTCTGTAACATGAAAAATGTAAATTTCCTTTAAGACTGATGCCACGGTAGGAACATTGGGATAGGGGACAGAGTAGTGATGCTGTGGATTGTGTCTTCAGGGTGTTCTTCACAAAGTGATGCTGTGTTGGAGGCTACACAAACCTGCTTAGAGTTCCCTCTAAGCCTACACTAGTTCATGCATCTTCATGTCAGTTATCTTTTCTGAACCTCACCTGTTATATAAAGAAAATAATTCCTGTCCAATGTATTTCAATTATGGCATTACTAGAGGCCCAGTGTACAAAATTTTGGCATGGAGAGGTTCCTCAGCCTGGCCTGCACCTTCTCCAATCCGGGACCCCTCAGGGAGTGTCTGATTGCCTCTTGCAATCTGGGACCACTGACTCCTAACCACTCACCTGCCTGCCTGCCTGGTCGTTCCTATCCAACTCTGCCTGCCTGACTGGTCACTCCTAACTGCTCGCTACTGGCCTGATAGACATTACTGTTCTCCTGCTGGCCTGATTGCTCCTAATTGCTCCCCTGCTGGCCTGATTGCCCCTAACTGCCTCTGCCTGGCCCTGTACCTGGTAACCAGGATTCCCTCCTCCAGCTGGTTACAGGCACCCATGACCTGGGCTTCCCTCCCTCTTTCTGGCAGCAGGCACCTGGGACCCAGGCCAGCTTCATCTGGGCTGACCACAGCCACAGGGGATTGTGGGTGGGCAATTTTGTCCTCTGGTGCTTGGACTTGAGACTGTGGGGCAGGTGACTTATCCCTCTCCTGGGCCATAGCCTGGCTGGTCCCCAGTTTTCCCCAGTGTTGAGTGTCAGAGCAGTTCCAGCAGGGACAACCATTTGCATATTATTTAGGATAGTGCGATAATAGTGTGAAAGAAAAAACACTCTGTAAATGCAAGTGATTTTAATCTTCAAAAACAGGCTGTAGAGAGGGTCTTATTGGAAGATAGGAAGAAAAGTTAGCAAAGGCTAGGATGGTGAAACATGTATTGAAATCTTAAAAATCTATTATGCTGGAG